CGCCCCCCCCCCCCACCTCCTGAGGGTTGACCCAAACCTCGCAGGAACCGCCCAAACATTCATCTGTGTTCCTCCGACAGGGGCATGCCCCATCATTTGGGGCCCTTGCATTTGGAAGTTCAAGGAGAGAGGTGTGGCTTGAGCTCCACCCCTCAAAGGGAACTAAGGATCCAAATCCAGATCACAAGGCAGCACCTATCTGTGCTTGGGAATCACAGATGTGAACCCTCTCCTGAAGTTAGGCTTTGAAGCAGTATTTTGCAGGAAGAGGTATTGGTGTTTGTGAGCTGGTGCACAAGTTGCAGTGCTAGGCAAATTTGGACCAGCTGCCCCTCATGATGGAGGAGAGGCCAGGCCAGGCCAGGCCAGGCCAAATTTAAGTGGTGATGTGAAGCAACCTGGTATAGCAGGTTGCATTGCCACTCAAGAGTGTGAATTTCTTTCAATTTGTGTGCAAATGTGCACTGGCAAAAAGCAAACCAAACAAAAAGATTAAACAACCCAAAACAACAACCCTTCCTCCCCCCTTCCTACACACACTTGCCAATTTGGGCTCTAAGCATGGGACTAGTTTGGATGAATTCAGTTCTGGCTGTGGTGCTGGGCAATATAAGGACTTAGTGGCTATACATATCCTTAGCTATTGAAGTGTATGTGCCTCAAGACCTTCAGGCTATGTCTAGACTATGCTCTGTTTTCGAAACAGGATATGCAGATTCCGTGGGAATTTGCATAAAAGCAGCCTGGATGCGGTTTTTTTTTCCCCCCAGGAAAAAAAACTCTTTTTTGGAAAAAAAACACTCTTCCTTAAAAAATGAGGTTTATGCATTTTTTTCGAAAAAGGTTTTTTTCCCGGAAGAAAACGCATCCAGGCTGCTTTCACTACTCAAAGAAAGCAGCCTGGATGCGGTTTTTTTTTCCCCCCAGGAAAAAAAACTCTTTTTTGGAAAAAAAACACTCTTCCTTAAAAAATGAGGTTTATGCATTTTTTTCGAAAAAGGTTTTTTTCCCGGAAGAAAACGCATCCAGGCTGCTTTCACTACTCAAAGACTTTTGAAAGTGAGATCAGAAGAAGATATGCAAATTCCAGCAGAATTTGCATATCCTCTTTCGAAAATAGAGCGTAGTTTAGATGTCCCTTTAATGGCAGAAACATATGTACCTAGGATCTGTAGGTACCAGCAGGGTTAGGTGACATCTGAGTGGGGGTTTTGTGAATGTTGAACCTACGTGCCTAGCTGCTAATTCAGCACATAGGTCCTTATGGGAATCTGGCTCACAATAATATCAGTAATTGCAGGAATTCAACATAGTAGAAACTGGAGACTGATTTAAACTCTTATTGAAAATATGACATCTATGAGAATCTGAATGTTCAGGACAAGAGTAACAAAAATCTAGGGCCACAAGTTTCTATGGTTCTTGTATATCTTAGCTACATCATACTCCTATGCTCTTATTTCTAGCTTACCTTCCTTTGCCACTTGTGGCATTAATTCATGTAATTTTAACAATGCGCTTTGAAATGTGTTTATATTAATTCAAGGGTTGGCAATAATTTTTGATGAGGGCCACTTCAGAAATTGTTTAAAGGGCGGGTCCAGGACACTTCTGTGCTTCCCTACCCACAGACCCTGATTGCTCTGGGGGTGAGGGAGCATGCAGTGTTCCCTCCCTCCCCCACCTGAGAGAACCACCAGCTGTCCTAGGGAGGGGAGCACATGAAGTCTGTCGCTCCCTGCCCCCACCCTGTAAGAGAGCACTGTGCTTAGAGTTAACTGCCAGCTGAGCAGCGGCTGGCAGTTGACTTTAAATGCTGAGCCCCTTGCAGGGCAGCAGGAGACTTCACATGCTCCCCTGTCCCCAGGCCCTTATTGGCCTAGGGGGAGCATGCGAAGTCTCCTCCCACCCTGCCCCTGTCCTGCAAGGAGCTTGTGCTGTTTAGAAGCGCCGTGCCCCTTGCAGGGCGGGAGGAGACTTTGCAGGCTTCTTTCCCCCCCCCCCCCCCCCACACCCAGGCCAGTCAGGGCTTGGGGGCGGAGAGAACGTGCAAAGTCTCTTCCCACCCTGCGCCCGACCTGCAAGGAGCATGCAATGCTTAGAATCGCCGCACCCTTTGCAGTGCGGGAGGAGACTTTGCACGCTCCCTCCCCTGTGTCCTAAGGCCAATCAGGGCTTGGGGGTGGGGGGAGTGCAAAGTCTCCTGCTGCCCTGCAAGGAGCGCACGGCGCTTAGAAGCACCGTGCACTCCTTACTGGGCGGAGCCAGGGCAGGAGGAGACTTTACATGCTTCCTCCTCCTCTCCCCTGTTCTCAGGCTTTGATTGGCCTGGGGGTGGGGGGAGCAGCAGGGCCTCTGTGGGCCGGATCAACTCACGTGGCAGGCCTACCCCTGTATTAGTTTGAACCATTTGGCAAAATATGCAGGGGAAGATCCTCATCTGGTATCCTAGTATCACTGCAATCAGAGGCATGATGACACTTTACACCAGCTGAGCATCTGTTTAACAGTGTACGCTAATAAAACACAAAAACAATGCATGTGGGAGAACAAGTTATTTTTTGCTATGTTCATTGTACAAGAACTTGTCTGAATAAATCCTTCAAATTCAGGACATTTCTGTGACTCTGCATGTTTTATTCTAGTCCTTCTTAAACAATGTAAATGCTAAGTTGAAAAATGCCTGTCTGCTTTGGAAAGTTCATCCCGTGATATGGTATTCACCTAGGCTGCAGTTTTAGTGAAACTTACCTTCATCAATATTAGAAGTTGGGATGACGACGCTTAGTTCTGTAGTAAAATAAATTAAATGTTAATATCCAAATATTAACAAACATTTCAAGTTATCCTAACACGTAAACATATGTTTATATGTCAAAACAATGGTAGCTTGTTATTTTCCTTAAAAAAATCTCAACCCAGTTCCTAGTGGATATATCACAATATCACCATGTACCCTTTGGCCTTCTCTCCATAAGTGATCTGCAAATAACAAGTAGTCTAATTAATAAACACATGCTAAATACCCCATAATTCAGGATTACAGGTGTATTTTGTATCTAAACAACTACATTCTGACACTTTTTCCTTCCTTCCTTTCTTTCTTGTTTCACTTGAGTAATATCATCTGGTTCTCATCCACTACAAGACCCCTAAAAGTCACCATTTTGTGACACCCATTTCAGGAAGTTTTATGGAGCGCAAAGAAAGGCATGCACTAGGGTTATTTATGTTTAGATAATGTGGATGTGTGTGAAATGCTTCCTTTAGCCTCTTAATGAAGGTATTTGGCTCATATGAAGTTCCTCTACTGGACTTGATTCTTCAAGTTTTATTCAGACAAAGCAGTCACTGAAATCAGTGAGGTTTTTGACTGAATAACTAAAATGAAAGTACTTTCATTGTAGGTCCCATGGCATAATAACAGAAGTGCTGCTAGTCAGGATTAAATGGCTAGTTGAAATGGTTATCTTTGCATACTCTATAATTAAGTATATAAAAATTTTAAAAAATTATCTTGCATTTTAAATTGTGTGAAAATCAAGAAAATCAAAAGACACCAAATTCTCTGTCTTTCACAGACATACACATGCAAATAGTCCCCACCCTTGTACAACACTGAGTAGGGAAATATTTATTATACCAGGATGCCTAAAATGACTGTAAATATAAATAAACATAAAAAATATTTACCTGGAATTTCAGGGTTTGGCTTTTGCTCATGTAGGGCTAAAACATAAAAACACCAGAATAGTTTGAACACGTTGGGTTGCTGCACATTGTTCTTGTGAGAAAGTTTCTAATTCTGCCCTTTGTTGATTTTGCAGAAAGCAGTTGTTAATTAGATGTTTGGACAATCTTGGAAAAGTCTGCTTGCCTTGGCTAAACTTATTTAAAATGCTGTTAATTTGTTATTTATCATCGTGAATCCTAGGATGGGAAAGGATCTCAAAAGGTCATCTAGTCCAGGCCTCATGGCAGGACAATTTTTTTTTTTTATCTAGACCATTCCTAGCAGATATGAGTGACTATGTTTTGTGCCTCTGCTACTAAATTTTGCTGCTGATTTTCTAAGGTTGCATTCCATATGGCTGCTGGGACAAATGTTCTGATTATATGAATCAAGATTCAGAAGAAACGTAGCCAGCACACTTCTTGCATAACATGAATGTGAAGCATCAGCCTGACTGGACTATTTCACTACAACAAAACCCAAAGCCAAACAAAAGGGCTACGTCTACACTACAAGGTTTTTGCGTAAAAACAGCTGCTTTTGCGCATAAACCTGGGGAGCATCCACACCTCAAATGAGCTCTAGCGCTATTAAATGGGCAGTTAAATGGCAGAACAGAGGGCTTTTTCCGCCCTAGGTAAACCTCCTTTTCTGAGGTATAACTGCTTTTAGCGCTACAGCTATTGCACAAGAAGGAAAGTGTGGACACTCCAGAAACTTTATTACGCAATAAACCCCTATGGAAAAAAGCACAGGTGCTCTGATGGCCATTCTGTGAATGGGCCATCAGAGCTTTCTTGTGCAAGAGCGTCCAGCAGTGTAGATGCTCTCTTGTGCAAAAGAGCCTCGCAAAAGTGAGGTGCTTTAATGTGTGGACGTGGTCTTGCGTAAGAAGCCTTTGCACCAAAAAACTAGCGCTACAGACTTCTTGTGATAGAACACCGCAGTGAAGATGTAGCCAAGATGGGTAAACTTGTGTCAGAGGAAAAAACACTGCAGGACAGTTTATTAGTGCAAAATGGAATTAAAGATAGGAACTTTTGGACAAATACAACACCACTGTGTCAATGTAAATGTTGAATTCGTTGCCAGAAGCATGTGATCCCCATTTTCCACTTCTTTAAGTTCAAGCTTCTTTTCATCGTCATCGTCATCATCATCATCATCATACAAGCACTTAGGTTCTATCCTCAATGCTTATTCTCTCATTTCTTATGCCTCTCTGTCCAATTGCTCCAATCTGCTCTCATTGCTAATCTGTCCTGTTTTCCTAAAACCATCTTTGTGCTTTTCTCTGTCCCACCTCTTACATTTGAAACTCCCTCCCTCAACGAATCAGTAAAGACACAATCATCTCCTTTAAATCATTCCTGAAGGACTACTTTGATTTGTTTACAAGAACTCAGCTGGCTAATAATGGTCAGCTCACAGGCAAAACCCCTTTCAAAGCCCTGATGTTTTAAATAATTTGGTACCACAAGTTGTGCATATAGCTACTCTGTGTAACCACAAACCTTCTCATGGTTACCCCCTTCTGTCTCCCTCAGCCTTGTTTGTCACACTCACTGGTCTTACCAATATGTTTGGAAATTCTTCAGATGTGTTTTCATGTGTTTTTACAGTAGCTAAACAATGGGATACCCATTCCTCTGGAGAAACCATTACAGTACCCATAATAAATATGGCTCAGATCTTCAGAGGCAAATTCCCATTGATTTCCTTGGAGATAGGAGCCCCAACACCTTTGTAGGTCTAGCTTTCTGATATAAACTGAATTTGACTCCCTTATTCCACCAATTAAAAAGATATAGCACAACTGGCTTAACATTTCTTATGGATGATCCTCCACCAGAAGTGAATTTGGGAAAAGTTTCTCCCATAACATGGGATCCAAGTAGGAAGTGGTGCTTTAACAAACTTACTTTCATCCAAATTGTAATCTGAGATATATTTTTGTTCTGTAATAAAATAATGGAATATTAGTAGTTTAATGTTTATAAGAATTTAAACAGATTGTCATTTAAACATATGTTTGTGTTAAAAGGTAGGTATTTAAAAAAAGAAAATATATTGTTTTGCACATTATTAGAAAAACTCTTTATCCAAGTTGTTAATAAATATTTCTCTAAATTATAAAGTCTCCACATATCATGGCACTTTTTTGTTTGCTCTGCTTAAAAGTGACATGCAAACAAGTGGTCTAGTTAATACATATGTACAAAATACACCACTTATCAAATATTAGAGGGACACTCTGCATCTAAATAATTATATGCTGACAATTTCCTCTGTTTTTTAAATTTCCTTCAAGTAATATACTCCTCCACTATGAATCCCGCAAAATTCATCTTAAGAAGCTATGTGTCTTTCAAAGATCAGTATGGGGCAAGGTTATCTTAAATTGTGATTAGGGATCTCAAGTGATTAAACAAATAAATGCAATTAATTATGCAATTAAAACAATTAATTGCGATTAATCATGCTGTTAAACAATAAGATTCCAGCTGACCCCATGCTCCACGTTGCGCTGCCCCTTTGAAACACTGCCGAAGCGTTTCAAAGGGGCAGCACTGCGGGACCCAGGATCAGGAGTCCCCAGCTGATCCTGGGCTCCGTGCAGCACTGCCCCTTTGAAATGCAGCTGAGGCATTTCAAAGGGGCAGTGCCGTGGGAGCCCGGGATCAGCCGGAGTCTTCAGCTGATCCCAAGCTCTTCTCGTGTTTCCCTTTTGAAACGCAGTGATGGCATTTCAAAGGGGCAGTGCTTCATGAAGCCCGGGATCAGCTGGAGTCCCTAACTGATTCCAGGCTCCATGCTGCACTGCCACTTTGAATTGCAAAGGTGGCATATCAAAGGGGCAGTGCCTCACAGCTTATCCCAGGCTCTGATCATGCTGCCCCTTTGAAATGCAGCAGTAGCGTTTCTGTGCTGCCACTTTTAAACGCCCTGGCGGCATTTTAAATGGGCAATGCCATGAAAATGCCTACGATTAATGCATGTTAAAAAAATTAATGCGTTAATTGTGCTCTGCCGTTAATCGCAGGCATTGATGCGTGTTAATTGACAGCCCTAATTGTGATGGTGTAATTATGTATATTGATGCTTTCTGCTGCCTAAGATGCAAACAGAGTTGAAACAGCCACAGCAAACCAGATGTTCTTTCATGACTAAGTCTTACTGCCTCTGGTGTGAAGTCCAGGTCTTGATAATGTATGGAAAAAATCTTTGCACTGACACGAAGAAGTTCAGGATCTATCAAACGTATAGAATCATAGAACTGGAAGAGACCTCAGAAGGTCATCAAGTCCAGCCCCCTGCCCTAGGCAGGACCAATCCCAACTAAATCAACCCAGCCAGGGCTTTGTCAAGCCGAGACTTAAAAATCTCTAGGGATGCAGACTCCACCACTTCCCTAGGCAACCCATTCCAGTGCTTCACCACTCTCCTAGTAAAATAGTTTTTCCTAATATCCAACCTGGAGCTCCCCCGCTGTAACTTGAGACCATTGTTCCTTGTTCTGCCATCCGTTACTACTGAGAACAGCCTTTTTCCAGACTCTTTGGAACCGCCCTTCAGGAAGTTGAAGGCTGCTATCAAATTCCCCCCTCACTCTTCACTTCTGCAGACTAAACAGACCCAAGTCCCTCAGCCTCTCCTCGTAGATCATATGCTCCAGCCCTCTAATCATTTTGGCTGCCCTCTGCTGGACCCTCTCCAATGCGTCCACTTGGGTACTACCTGTATTGCTGTACATGACAGAAGCCCAGAGTCTTATGCAGACCGACTTGGAGTACCTAGAGGCAATCTATATGTGAGGCCAGTGTGAAATCCTGAGCATAAAGAGGTTTGTCTTTTGTGTGAAAAGTCATAATCTCACAGGGATCTGGCCTTCCTTCAATCACTCATTATATTTGAGAAGCCGCGTTACACATGCTTTGTCAATGTCACCTGGATGGACCAAAAATCCTAGCACATCACACTCTCAAACTCTCCTTTGACAGACAGAGGGGTGCATGCTCTGACTTTACTTCTTGCTGTCTATGGGGCCATCCCAGAGGTTACTGGAATTCTTTGTGGGAGTGAACGAGAACTGGGAGCTTCATGATGTGATGCCTGGTGTGATGTCCCCAATTTACGGTCAGTCTGGCTGGCACAACGGTCCTCAGTAGCCCGTGTGTGTTTGGTGACGATTTGAGTTCTATGCTAAATGCCTCCGTTAACTTAGTTAGCGAAGGGTATTTAGATCATAATGAAGTAAATAAAATGTTTTCTATTGGGCTTGAACCTTCAGGCTTTATCCAAACAAAACACACATTGAAATAAATGGGAATTTTGATAACTGGGAGTCCCATTTGCATAACAGTAGCAGTAGTGTTGCAAGTCACAATTAAATGCTAGCTGATGTGAAGAACTATGCACAGTGGCAATCTATAATTAGTATATAAAAATAAAGGCTTCAAAATATTTACCTTGATAGTTAGCCTCAATACTTGTACGCGCTGGGAATAAAACACAAAAACATCAATATGCATCAAATTCCAGCTTTTCTTTTGACATACACATGCAAATGCTCTCACGCATGTTCTTCATTGCACTGAGATATTTATTATACTAGACTGATTTAAATGCTTGCACACGTATAAGAGCATGCATGCACGTGTGCTCAAACATACACACACTCTTACACACAAAATATTTACCTAAAAATTGTCGCGTTGGCTTTTGATCACCTAAGAATGAAACACAAAAACAGGAGCATAATTTGAACACACTTCTTTGTGCAGTGTTGCTGCAGCAAAGAGTTTTCAACTCATGCACTTTGCTGAATTTGGAGAAAGTAGACAATAAGATATTTGGACAACCTTGGAAAAGCTTAACCTTTTTTAATTGTAACCTCGCATTTGTATGAACTTGGAATAAAACACAAAAACATGAGCAAATATTAACTTCTTGCTTGCGTTCTGACAGACACGTAAAAAAGCTCTCACATATGTACTACATTGCATTGAGAAATATTTATTATACAAGGGTTATTGAGAAATATTTATTATACAAGGATTATTGAAATAACTGTAAACATACACTCCCCTCCCGAAATATTTACCTGGATCTTCTGGCTTTGGCTTTTGATCATCTAGGGATAAAGCACAAAAATGATAGCATAATTTGAACATACTTCGTTGCCATACAATGTTCTTACAATGAAGAGTTTTCATCTTGTGCACTTTGCTGAATTTGTAGAGTGCAGAAAATGTGGAGATGTTTGGACAATCTTAGAAAAACATACGTGTCTTGGACAAAACTTATTTTTTGAAAGTGGAATGCAATACTCTTAAGTTTCTTCATCATCATGAAGAAGGGTCCGTGGCCCTAATGCTATAATTTATTGATTATTTTTCAAGGTTGTATTACAGATGGCTGCTGGAAAAAGTGCTAGGACTACGTGACTCAAGATGATTTTTTTTTTATTCTTCAGAAGAAATATCTTCATTTAGTACACTATGTCTAAGCTGAATATGAAGCATCAGCCTGATTAAACTATTTCACTAAAACAGAATCCAGAGCCAATTTAGTCAAACTAAAGAAATGTAGAGATGAATCAGTAGGTGAGACACAGAACAGTTTATCAATATAAGAATGAATTACAGTAAAAGCTGTGTTATCCAGCATGCTTGGGGATTAGGGCATTCCGGTTATCTAAAAATTCCAGTTATCTAAGGGTCCCATCAACCTAGGAAAAACCAATGTACAATAACAGTAACTAAAGTTTTTAATATTGGTAGTTTAGTTGTGTGAGGCAGTTAGTCTCACATTTCTATTTTGAGTTAAAGATGATTAGTACTTCTTAAATAAAAAGTTAAACCTATCATGGCAAACCAAGCCAGTCCTGTGTGCCGATAGATGTGACAATATTGTGACGGGGGGCAATGCCGGTTAACAAAGTTTTCTGGTTAACAGAGTGTTGGATAACAAAGGTTTCACTGTAAAATTAAAAAAAAAAAAAAAAAAAAAAAAGCCTCTGCCCTCAGATGCACAGCTTTTCCTAACAGTCAATGTGAGTTGCATGTGCTTATCTGAGGGCAGAATCTAGCCCAGCATGCTAATATTACAGAACAAGATAGGCATGTTTGGACAAATTCTATGCAAATAAAGTAAAGACATACATCTTGGATTAGCTGCTAGCAGGATGTGCTCCTCATTTCCCATTGCTTCAAGTTCAAGTTTCCTCTTTTCACCATCCAAACACTTATATTTACATTCTATTCTTATTTTCTCTTATCTCTTTGTGTGTCATTTCTCAATACCTTCATCTGTCCTTATTGCTCATCTGTCCTGCTCTCTAATAACTATATCTGAGCTTTCTTTCATGCTGCTTCTTACAGCTCTATTATCTTCAATTAATCTGAAAGGACACTGACCATGACAATATCCTGCACAAACCTCATGGAAGGAAGGAAAAGTGAATTAAATTAAGTGAAACCTTACCAAAATAGATTTAATATATTTGGGACCATAGTATTGAAAATGCATTTGATTTGTGTATGTTTTATTGTGAGATAGTATATATGAATTTTTTCTTGGAGAAAGGAATATGCCAACATAATTCAGCTAGTTATTAGCCCTTTGAAGCCACTCTCTGGAGAGGTTTGCATATACTAGTTCCAACTGATTCACCAGGGACCAACAGACAAAGAAAAGACTTTTGAAGAACCAGCGTGAGTTTAAGATGACTCAGGACCTTCCTGGTCCAGCAAACAGACATGACCTGTGGTCCATAGAGGGTTCCAGTCCTTAGGACTGGGTTGGAAGGATTTGGCTTCCTGACTCTCCATATGACTATATGCTTGTTCTGAGTAAAGCTGTGATGAATTTGAAAACATAAGAAAACTCCTTAGATGAGGTTTTGAAGTACAGTTTCTGCCCATTTTATAGTTGGAGTGAACTCTCTCTCCTCCTTGTTATCACATCCACTTGTCTTAAACATTGTGAACTCTTTAGGCATGGCCTCCGATGAGTGCATAGAACAATAGGCTGTCCAATCTTCTGTGGAAACCTCTTCAGTATAAATAATATATATGGCTCAGATCCTGAGAGTAATCAGGCACCTAATTCCTATTGATTTCCATGAAGATAGGTGCCGAAATACCTTTGAGAACTGATCAGGAATGGCCCTACCATGAGGCGAACTGAGGCGGCCACCTCATGTCCCAGACTGGGTGTGTGGGGGGGTGCCACTAGGACCCAGAGTGTAGAAAATTGTGTCTGCTGCTGGGGCAGCGGGGGAGCATGGGGGCATCACTTGAACTCCCTGCCTCAGGTGCCAAAATGTTGTGGGCTGGCCCTGGAACTGATCAACTATCCTCTTCTCCACAACTGTCTTTGTTCTTTTTTTCTATGGTTCTCATCTAACATCCTTCCTCAAATAATCTGTAAGGATACAACCATCTTCCTAAAACTCCACTTCTATTGCAGAGTTTACTAGAAATCAGCCAGTCTATGATCATGAGCAAATCACTCTTCCCAGTACCCCAATGCTTTAAAATAATTCAAAACCCCAAGCTGTGTCCAAAGCTAGCCAGTGTAAACACACAAACGTCTCCCTGTTACCTTCATCTTATCTCCCCCTTCCTTTTTATCTGTCAACACACTTGTCTTAAATTTAGATTGTGAACTCTTCAGGACATCTCTTCCTTTATGTTTGCACAGTGCATAGAGCAGTGGGCTGCTTAGTCCTCTCTGGACACCACCATAAAACAGTATTCAGCTTTCTGGTAATATATTTTGATGCTCTTCCTTCACCTTTTATAAAAAAAAATTCAAACACAGTTTGTCTGACATTTCTCATGGACAACGCTCCTTTAGAAGAAAACTTTGTGGACTATTTGCAGACTCTCGGGCAAGTGAGAGGACTGTGCAAGAACTAGAACAAGAGAGAGTATAACAAACTTAAAACAAAATAAAACATTTTGGAAGAGTGAACTGGTAGCACAGACAGGCTACATTAATATTTGGTGGGATTCCTCCTGTGGCTGTTTGGATAAAATACTTCTGCCAGTCTATCCAATCCCCAGCCATGGATCTTTGGCACTATAAATGGCACTTTACAGAATCTGGAGGGAATGGTACTATACTCCAAATGCAAATTATATTCCCTTCCAATAAAGGCACCCAGGGCATAATCTGTTCCCCAACCCTTTAATTGTCTTGCTTTTCCTCTTCCTCTAGAAGGAAGAGAAGGAACAGGGTGTAATGTAACAGAAACCATTAAGGCAACATTATTACAGATATTTCCATAACTTTTTTGGAGACTGAGTAGTCCATTCTCATTGTTTTGCAAATCAGTTGCACATTTTAAAATGTAGGCATTCGTTTTCAATTTAATGTGACTGGAACAAAGAAGATAAATCTATGAAAGTTTAACCTCCACATTGAGCTCGCGATTCATCCTCTCCTGCCAGGCAGTCTATTTCCTTGTTACAGACGTACTTTTTTGGAATACACACGTCTGAATTACAGTGGAAACTGTTGTTTTTGCATTCTGCAACAAAAAGAGAACTCACTTAGTACCTGATGGAATCAAATAATTCACCAACCTCATCACTCTAAGAGGCACATTTATGACAAAAGTAAAATATTCATGAATATGTCATAAAATCTAAACACTGAATATATATAAATGCTATCAATGCTGTAGACCTTCCATTTTACCACTTTAAAACAGAGTTTTAACTTTCCAGTGCTGTAGTTCTCTCTTTTTACTCAAGATCTACTATCAATTTTTTCCAAAACTTCTGACTACACCCAAACCGACCTTTCAGTCTTGTTAGTGTTCTTTAAGATTGCAATGGGAATTTAAGATGGTCAACATCTCCCAAGATTGGGACAACATTTTCAAAAGCCTAAAGCTAGCCGTCCTAGTCCATATTTAGGCACCTTATTGATTTAGGAGCACATGTTGTATTGACTGCACTACTTTTGAAAATTCTACTGGGAAATATAGGATTAGGAACTGAACTGTAGACTCATATTGTGAAAATGTTGATCATGACCTATAATTGCAGTCAGGCACTTCTCTATTAGATGAAACATTCCTATACACTCAAGTGTCTGGCTTTCTATTAGCTACAAATTTTGATACATTTTGAAGAGCAAAGCCAATGCTTTGCCAGTTTTGAACAGTTATTTTTGACTTAATATAGATTTGCATGGGAGAATATAAAATAATGTATTATTTTTATTTAATGGAAAAGCTGATGGCTTCTTAAAACCAGTACAAAGTATCGGGAAGACTGTATTTGACTTCAGAAGGCTTTGGATCAGGGCTAGACTGAGGAAAAATGGCACTTGTCACATGAACAAGTACTCCTTAGAGCAGGGCTACTCAGCTTTGGAAGCCCCAAGGGCCATAATGATATTCACAGCACATACCAAGTGCTACAACTTAAGCGTGGTTGCATATACATGCAAATACATGCAAATAGCTTCCTTCACACTGACGGACATGAATACAAAGTACTTCCCACAATGCCACAGCTCTCCTGGGCACCTCCTCCCTGCGGACTAGAAATGCCAACTAGAAACCCTGCCTTAGAGTAAATCGTTTCGCGTACAAGCTTTGGGGTCAAGAGGTCTGTTCTATAGTTTACCACCATCTTTTGAACTTTAGAAACTTGATTTCAGTATTGAAAATATAACTTAAATACCATGTGAGAAGGTAAGATTTTTGTTAATCACATTAAAAAAAATCTGATTTTTTTTTATCTTTACTTTCCTCATAAACATTATGTGCATTGTAAGGATGTCAAGACAGGAGCCTTATTTTCACACATTAGTACAGGCAGTCCCCGAGTTACGCGGATCCGACTTACGTCGGATCCGCAGTTACGAACGGGGCACTTCCTTTCCCTGGTCTCGAGCAGACCAGGGAGAGGAAGCAAAGCGGCGGGGGAACGCGCGGCCAGCTGACAGCCCAGACGCGTCTGGGCTGTCAGCTGGTCGCGCGTTCCGCCGCTTTGCTTCCTCTCCCTGGTCTGCTGGAGACCAGGGGGA